TATTTCGTTTAAAAAAAAAATGAATTCTCATTAATACTTGATATTTTTATAAACTAGGCATGCTCTATGTCAAATGTTGGCACTCGTCTACTATTGTCTCAGGCGAAATAAAGAATATGGTAGTCCCATTTTTGGTAAGAAGTGTTTCAGTTCCAACTCTAACCATCAGCCCTTTCTAGAACAATCAATGCTGTAGCAAGCACAAAACATTGTGCATGGTAAGTGAACAACATCTTTGCATGAACACTTTCTTGAGCATAGACGATCACCAGAACAACCACATTTCATCAAGCGAAGGATATATTCTGGGGCACAAAAGGCATTTTCTGGAAGCGTGACATGTGTGAGTGTCTTTGTGTCCTTTTCCCTCATCCATCCAAATTCCTCTGGGTCCAACAGAGGGGGATTGTTTTCCTAAAATGATCGCCAAAGAATGGCTTGGTAGTGTGCACGTTTTGCATTCTTTAAGAATGCTTCAGTCGTAGGTGGCAGTGAACATAGTTTGGAAGACGAAGTGACGCCCTTGCCATTTTTAGCAGCCCAAAGCTGAATGCGAACCTGTGACATGTCCACAGCATTTTTCTTGCCATAGCAAGCTGATACGAATGTTGTGGCTTGGTTGTAAACATCAGCAAGTTCAGCAGTTACGTCACCAACTGCAGACAAGGTGTGGCCAGCCCTAAGGACTCTGATTACAGTTTCTTTACCAATTCCGAAGTATGTGGCAACCGTGTCGCAACCTGAAAGAGCGTGAGCTTGAAGGAGATTTTAAGCGATCATCTGGTGTTTTTTTTGCTGTCTCACCAATGTCAATCACCGTGCTACCTTTCACTGGTGATTCCATGATGACTGGGACTTTGAGGTCACTTCGATCATAATAGTAGACTAGTAGAAAAACACATCTGTGTCATCAGACATCACTGTAATGGATTTCCCTTCTCTACTGTACCGCAATACCTGTTGGACAATAATATTGTCCGCTTCCTCATGGGTCGTTGTGAGGTCATGACGTCTTCTGATCCCATCATTTTGAATTTCAAGTGGAGTGTTTCTTTCCGCTGTGATAACTAGCTTGTGTATGCAGGTGCTGTTTGTGTGGAAGATGCTGTCCTGAGACAGTTCATCATAGATGATCTGGATGATCTGTTTCTTGTTTTCAGTGACAGTCATTCCAACTTTCTGGGCTGGCAGGGTTGTCTTAAGCTTAAGATGAAAGACTCTACTGGCGCCGGCCTCTCTTCCTCTCCTGGCCACAGATTTCGTGCGAAAATTTCTGTAATGGTCGAATACTAGGTACACCTCATAATCCTTCAAGAGTCTTTGAATACGTTCCTTCACATTTGAAACATAATCTTCAACTGTACCAGCCTCGAGCGAGTGGAGCACCCAAAGCAAAGCAGAACCATCTATCACCATCACATCAGTCATGCCTGTTTTTCTACTCGATACTTCTACTTGGAGACTCTTCTTTAGCTGTGACTTGTTTGTGGCAATCCTCATCCCATCATGCAGTGGTAAACATCAATGTTGGCACTGGTGCAAGTTCATGGGAGAGAACATGCTTGATATCAATATCCCGCGAACTGGATAACAGACCAATAACCCGTGCATAAATGGCATTTAAGTCCGTAATCTTGTTGTCCCCAATGGATACTCCCTGCTTCCTCACAGTCATTGTAAAAACTTTCTTGGGAATGGTTCCATAAAACCCGTCTGGCCATTTTGTTTCAAATTCCTCCATCTGTTTCTTTCAAATATGAACGGAGTTCTGGACATTGACCTCAGCTTTGCCAATTTGCCCAGTTAATTTACGATATTCACTTATTCCTCTCTGGTGGTTTGCAGGTCGCATGAGGTCAAGTGCACATGCTCGTACATTTCTGCGGATAACAAGTTTTGTGCTTGCTACATGCTTGATTGTTCTAGAGAGTGGCTGATTGGTTAGAGTTGGAACTGAAAACACTTATTACCAAAAATGGGACCTAACCAATATCTTTATTTTGGGCCTGAGACAATAGTAGACGAGTGCCCACAGCAGTTTGTACATAGAGCATGCCTAGGTTTTAGGAAAATATCAGTATTCGATATGATAATTCATTTTTTTTTAAACATGAAATAATAATGGAGTAACCTATGTGGCTGGTTTATTTGAAAATGATGCCCGACAGTTCATCAAAACAACTGACTGACAGTTAACGCGTGCACTTGTATGACCTTTGACCCCTGTACGTTTTGGCTAAAATATTCGCCACAATCTGAGACTAAGCCTCTTGATTCCATTGCAGATTGGACGGGGCGCCATGCAGGACAGGCATTTTTGTCAACCTATAAACCTTGAGCAAAAATGACTTTTGTGAGAACAAAACTCAATTCTGGTCAATCCTTGTCCCACAAAACTCAATTTTGTGAACACAAAACTCGTTCTGTCAATTCCTGTCCAACAAAACTCATTTGTGAACACAATCTACATTCTGTCAATCCTGTACCACAAAACTCAATTTGTACTAACATCAAAACTCAACTTCTGTCAATTCCGGTTAAAAATAATTTTGGTACCACAAAACTCATTCTGTCGAACGCGGTTTCACAAAACTCAATTTTGTTGCCCAATATGCACACGCATGTCCAGAAGGGCTATCCATTGGTCAGGAAACTGGGCCTGGGAGAAATGTGTCATGGTCGCCATTCTGTTTTCTTTCTGACGCAATGGTAGCCTCTTCTTACATGCGTGTGGCCATATTTGGGCTAACAAATCGAGTTTTTGTGAACGGTTCGACAGATTTGAGTTTGTGTTTAGAAATTGAGTTTTGTGGGACAGGGATTGACAGTAAGTTTGAGGTTTGTGTTCACCAAAATTGAGTTTTGTGGGACAGGACTTGACGAATTGAGTTTTTGTGGGACAGGATTGAGCAGGAATTGAGTTTTTGTGTTCACAAAATTGACGTTTTGTGAGATCAGAAGTTGAAGTTGTGTGCACAAAATGAGTTTTGTGAGACAGAATTGAGTTTGTTAGACCAAAATTGAGCGCCCTGTCCTGCATGGCGCCCGTAATATGTGGTGTGAGCAATGGTTGTCTAATCGACTAAATCTGATTACTGTAAGGCGTTTATCAATCTTTTGTGACACTAAAACAGCTATTTTAGCAGCATCACTTGACTTTCTTTTGTAATAGGTTGTCAAAATTCAACATGATTTGAATTGGCGGTTTAAAATGATAGCAGGGCATCTCCTTGAACAAATTTAGGGTAAAAGCACTATTATAGCCTGTTTCTTGCCAAGGCTAGGGGTGCTAAAAGGCAATATGTTCAAGATTTCGAGAAAGGTCAAAATGGTGACTTTTTGACCTTAGTGACGCTTATATTCAACTATCATTAGAAAGGAGCTCTAAATACCAACATTTGAGTGGTCACAATGATCCATTAGGCTTAAATAAACGACAAGATCTAGTAGACTTTTTTGTTTTCCCACCCTTAATTTTTCGCATGCAATTTTTGAGTTGACGCTCTTCAAACACAAGAAGGGTTTAATAGCAGTAAAATTGCTCAAGGGTGACGGTGTCATCCACCTAAAAAGTAAAGAGCGCAACACACTAGTCTATCAAGAATCAGCAAAGACAAAACTTTAACTCTCAGTGCAGGGTTCCGCCAAAATCGGGGTTTGGCTTCCCCGGACTGTGTTTGGCAAAGGCATGCTGCGAATGATCTATTTACTACGCATCGTATCGTCGCGATATCTAATTCTCTCTCTCTCATCTCTCATCTCTCTTCTCTCTCTCTCTCTCTCTCGTCATCTCTCTCTCTCTCGTCCTCTCCCAAGCTCTCGTCTCTCTCTCGCTCTCTCTCATCTCTCTATATAGTATAGTATATATATTTATTACTATATACCTACATATCACGAGGGTCCTTGGTCGCATGCTTTGTTAATAATGAAGCCCCACTTACACGTATAATGCTTGAATTTTAAACTTGTTACCGACATAAGTATGAGTAGGATTCGAAATGCACTACATGTAGATACTGTCTCTGATTTAACACGTTGAGAGAAAGAGCCGCGTGAGCGAGGGGAGAACGAGGGAGAGGGGAACGAGGGGAAAAACTGTCATGGTAAGCTGGGCGAGAGAGAGAGAGAGAGAGACAGAGAGAGAGAGAAAGAGAGAGAGTAAGAGATGTAGAGAGAGAGAAGAGAGAGAGAGAGAGAGAGAGAGAGAGAGAGAGAGAGAGAGAGAGAGAGACAGATGAGAGAGCGATGAAAGAGAGAGAGAGAGAGAGACAGAGAGAGAGAGAGAAGAAGAGACAAGAGAGAGAGAGAGGAGAGAATGAGAGAGAGAAGAAAGATGAGGAGAGAGCAGAACGAAGAGACGAGAGAAGAACAGAGAAAGGAAGAGAGTAGACCGAGCGTCGATGCGAGACGACGAGACGAGAGAGACGAACAGAGAGAGAGAGAGACGAGGACAGAGAGCGAGCGAGAGAGCAGGGAGGAGAGAGAGAGACAGAGAGCTAGCCGAGAGGGACGAGTGAGAGAAGAGAGAGAGATGAGAGAGAGAGAGAGAGAGGAGAGGTGAGAGAGAAAAGAAACGCAGCGAGCGAGAGAGAGAAGAGAGAGAGAGAGAGAGAGAGATAGGAGAGCGAGCGAGGAGAGCCAGAGAGAGGGAGAGCGAGAGCGAGACAGAGAAGAGAGAGAAAGAGAGAGCGAGAGAGAGAGAGAGAGAGAAAAAGAGAGAGAGAGAGAGAGAGAGAGAGAGAGAGAGAGAGAGAGAGAGAGAGAGAGAGAGAGAGAGAGGCAGAGAGAGCACTACAGTATTTGTTTTGTGAAGGAACGCACGCTACAAGTCCATTCACGACGCAGCGCAGCGCCTTGCTGTCGCGACCGATTGATGATGAGAACACGAGCTTCACGCACGCTACTACATGAAGCCCGCTATACCGACACAGGTATACGAAAAGGAATCTATTATCGCTGTCACTGAAGCCGCGCGGAGACTCTCGCAATGTTGCACCTACCTGCGCATATGAACCAGGCGACCTGGTAGGCGACGACCAGCGCGGGGGGCACCATCGTAGCCGTATGCAGCGGTAGCGACGTCACAACGCAGTTTCAGGCCAGATCCTACACGGGTAGAGAGAGAGTGAGCGAGACAGAGAGAGAGAGAGAGAGAGAGAGAGAGAGAGAGAGAGAGAGAGAGAGAGAGAGAGAGAGAGCAGGCCCTCTCTATGCACAGGTGCACATGCACACGCAGCAGTGGTAACAGCAGCAGCAGTTCTTGCACTGCGGTAGGGGGAGATAGAGCACGCGCTCTACGTAAAGACGCACAAGCACACGCCAGTATAAGTAGCAGCAGCTGCAGGCAGCGCCACTGCCCAGGCCCTACACTGGTAGGGAACAGGCAGGTTCTTCCTTATATTTATGCCAGCAGCAGCATGCAGCGCGCACTAGCAGCAGCTAGCGGCGGCCAGCAGCAGCGGGCGACAACAACAACAACAAGCAGCCACTTGTAGCGGCGGAATAGAAGTAGAAGTAGTAGTAGTAGTCAGTAGTAGTAGTAGTAGTAGTAGTAGTAGTAGTAGTAGTAGTAGCAACAGCAGCAGCTGTAGTAGTAGTAGTAATCTCTAGTAGCAGCTGCTACTACGGAGGCAGGAACAGGACACAGCCGTAGTAGTAGTAGCAGCAGCAGCAAACAACAACAACAGAGAGACAGCAGTATCAGCAGTAGTCAGCAGTAAGTAGTAGCAAGCAGCAGCAGGCAGTAGTACTCAGTGAGAAAAAAGAAAAGAAGAAGTAGTAGTAGTATAGTAGTAGTAAGTAGTAGTAGTAGTAGTAGTAGTAGTAGTAGTAGTAGTATAGTAGTAGAGCAGCAGCAGTCAGCACAGCAGCCAGCAAGCAGAGCAGCAGTAGTAGTAGTAGTATAGTTGTAGTAGTAAGTAGTAGTAGTATAGTAGTAGTAGTAGTAGTAGTAGTAGTAGTATAGTAGTAGTACGTAGTAGTAGTAGTAGTAGTAGTTGTAGTAGTTTTGTTGTTGTTGTTGTTGTTGTTGTTGTTTGTTGTTGTTGTTGTTGTTGTTGTTGTAGCCAGTAGTAGTAGCAGCAGCAGAAGCAGCAGCAGTAGTAGTAGTAGTAGGAGCAGCAGCAGCAGCAGCAGCAGCAGCAGGCAGCAGCAGCACAGCAGCAGCAGCAGCAGTAGCAACAATAACAACAACAACAACAACAACAGGCATGCAGCAGCAGCAGCAGCAACAACAACAACAACAGCAGCAGGAGCAGCAACCGCTAACAGCTCCACTTATGATCAGGGGCCGTGCGGATCTCTGAACGCCGACCTGACAGCACCAATCAATACGAGTAATATGTGCGTGAGAAACCATTGCGGGTCTCTCTGGCTGATCAATGTTTGTTTGCTAGCGGGAGAAGATACATACGCACGCACGCACGCACGCGTAAACACGCACGCACGCGCATACACGCACACACGCACGCGCGCACGCCATTTCAATACCTCAATGAATTCACTTTCACCTGCGACCTCACAAAACAAATTGACGGGAGTTATCGGTTACGCTATTACGTGAAATAAACATATCTGGTAGTATGCGTGTTGTATATCAATGAAGCAATTACTCTAAGATCTCCCATGCACCCTGTTGCAGGGGAGTGAGGCTATCAGAAGGGGGTAGGCGGTTATTTGCGGGACGCTGGATTGGCCCAGTTTAATTATCTGGGAACCGGGAAATACCAGATACAATTTTTCCGGATTCGGGAATATAAGTCAACCGGGATGCGGGAAAGACGAAATTGCGATTTTAAACCGGGAACTGGTAAATTGTTTGTTTCTACATTAAATCTGGGAACTGGCCGCTCTTCCCCATCTCCCCTAGTGTAACGGAGATATTGCGGCTTGTTCACGTCACATCGAAGCTGTCGGTTTTTCGCTCGTTCTGATAACCGCGGTCAGCGACGTGGAATGTGATTTCCCCATTACGCTGTCAGGGTGGTCCTAATGGCAGCGGAGGCAGCGCACTTTCGGGCATAATGTCTCCATTCGGCGATATGCACGTCACAATACTGAAGTATAGATTCGTGCTGTCACCAATAATGGCTTAATTTGCCGAGGAGATCGCAGGTGGCGCCACGGTACGGTAGTATTGCTCACAAACCATCACAGAGACCCGTGTGCATGTCCGGTAGGGGAGCATGACGTCAGTATGATAAATATAGGCGCGTTCACACGGACGTTTTTGGCCCGAGCCTAATCTGTGAGATATTTGAATTGTGCAATAAAATTTATTTGAATTTGAATTTGAATTTGACAGACAGTATTCACTTGCGTACGTGTGAACGCTCCGACTCAAACCGGCCCGAGCCAAATTTAGCCCATTTGGCTCGAGTCAAACAATGACCGTGTGAACGCGGTAATAGAATCATATTGGTTATCCTATATTAACCCATATTGTACTCGTGTTAAATCTATATTGTACAGCTATATATTGTAAGCCCATGATTTAACAATGACGTTCCCTGCGCTGACACGATAGCAGATAGTCAGGTGTGTATTGTAGGGACGTAGTTTGTATGTAATAATTACATGTAATGTACATGTAATTGTATGTAATGTTACAGCATGAGCATGCCCAGTATCTGCTACGAGAAATTTTCTTGAATTAGGCCTATTTTATATTAATAAATCAATTTGATTAATAGAAAAATAAAGAAAGAAAATTAAATATAATGAATGAGCATATTAATCGCGAAGTAGTCACGTGAAGAAAGAAATTGAGGTGGGGGAGGAAGAGGAGGAGAATGGGGACAGGAGGAGAGGAGGGCAGGGGGAGTGGCGCAGAAAAGGTGAAGAGTGAAGGAAGGGGTGGATGATAGTTGTGTGATGAAAAATGTAGGAGAGGTGGAGGAGGTCAGCGATTGAGGGGAACATAACAAAAGGCAGAGATCTCTGTAAAATAGTCCGGCGTTCATAACTTCCCCATAGTCTCCATAGTTGTGCATCTTCAACATAGAACGAAGAAATTGAAGAAATTAAATATCTTAATTGTAGGTGTTTTTATTGCATTTTGTGTGTGGCTAGCATTCGAGTTACCACGAAAACAGGCGTTAAAAAACCAATCAGGTTTAACAAGCTTTAGCAAGTAAAACAGAGAACATGTTAACTCTTTCTAATTAAATTAATACTATATTTTCGGAAAGTAAACACAGTAAAATAAAAGCAAACACATTGGTATCTTACAAACAGTTTATTAACATTACTGTTATTATACTTAATGCATACAGAAAGCATTTAAGATAGAACTCGGCTTTTATTATCAACGGTTACAGATTCCGTATTTATTTTAATGCATTTAATTTGAACTCTTCCTGACCCTGGCACTGATGGCCCCTCAATGTTCGCCTCGTAAGTAGTAATGCAAACACTAAACCGATAACAACAATTTAAGCACGGCGATTCAAGTCTGTTCCGCAAAGATGACATTCTCTCGTTCTGATGACGACGCAACAAAAGAGCTCAGAATCGCGCGCGACTGGAATGACAATTAGCAACGCCATGCTTAATTAGGCATTACGCTGTCTGTTAAGTGTCACGGCAGCACTCTCCGTCATCACACGAAATGGGATTTCCAGAAAACTGCCGTCGGATATTTCGCGTACGGACGCAATAGATGTTAGCGTAATAGGAACTAGTTTGTCAACAACAGCATACATGACGAGTAAAAGGAAGAAAGAACCGCATAAAGAAGACACACGCACAACATCTGCTATTTTACACATGTCAAACATATCGAGTCTACATATAAACAATAATCTAAAAACTTGTCGTGACGGCGAGCATTCGAACTAGAATTTACAAGACGACGATGATCGACAGACGAAATCTTTCACACATATTCAATGGATAAAGGAATTTCCAGAACGAATGCATATATAATATAACGATAGGGCTCGAAAGCCCGGACACATTACATCTTATCCGGAGGACGCAATTGCGCATTTCATTCTCACGAATATAGAACACCAAGTGAAACACAAATGGCTTTACTGGATTGAAAACCATTCCGTAAACTGACACGCACGGTTACATAACGCCATCTTTATATATCAGAATTGACCTAGGTGTCTGGGCGAGATAACCACAGGCGCTTGGAGATTTTTTAGAACGCCACCATCGCAACGCTAATTGGCTAAACTGTCGATGGACCCCAGACAGATACGTCAACTCAGAAACCCGTGCAGTGAAACCAATGCGCGTGTACACAGCAGGCATGCTCTGTCAGGTGAATGGTTACACAAAAGCACCGCAATGACTCTAATGCGTGTCTCATCGGGGCACCCGGAATTCTGAGAGAGATAGCGCTGGTATACACGCTCGTGGAGAACATTAGTCTTACATCCACGCAGCATCCGCTCCTCATCCCAAATTCGAAGCTAATTGAAGTTTCACGGGGCGTGCAAGCGCCGGCCGTGTGCATCTTTGCAGGCAGCCGTATGCAACGACGCAGCAATGTACAGTACATAGAAAACAGCGGCATCTCCGGGGTGTTTAAAAAAGAGCAAATCGTATTGCACTCTTATCCTCCTACTACTATCACTACTCCTACAACTACTACAGCCTAGCGTTGATAAGCACTAGGAATGGATAATCACACGTACATCTGAAGAAATGAATCGTTGAAACACGCGCGAGGGAAGAAGAGCAGAATGCGCACCCTCCTCACGCCAAATCATCGGCGAATCGAATGCTTGCGTCCTGCGGTGTTCTCTTTCGGCGACCGGCACAGCGTTGGCACTAGAGGATATGTGTCTCTCCCGGAATTGGCTTGTGTTTGGCCAGCAGGTGGCGTGTCCATAGCGAACAACGTATCACGGCAACAGGCAGTGATAACAAGCTCATAGCTTCCGCCCACGCCCGCACAACAACCGATTGCTCGAACGCGTCATAGCGGGACTGCTTGTGGGCGAAAATTCACGGGAGAAGTAAATGAATGAGAAAAGCCGAACACTCCAGCGAAGCAGACCGATTAGATGAAACCGATTCGCAAAGCAATTTGCTTAAAACTAGTGGGGAAGGGGCCGTGCACACACAGGAACATGCTGTGAGGGACACTACCTACATTCCCGCGGCACGCGACAGGAACATCAATGAATTGGCATGCAGTGCAATGTTGGTTGTGATTAATACTGCTAACTACATCTTATAATCAGTGAACTCACGTCTGCCTACAATTACCGTCAATGGGAAATAAATACAAAAAAACGTTCACTTAAATAGCAAAAAAACACTGATCATACCATACATATTGCCAAAAATTGATTATACACACTGACGAGAAGGAAACATGACAACAAATTAACTTATGTTAAGAACGCATCAACTAGACTCTTGGTCGAAAACACGTACAGCGACGTTCATGAAAGAAAGCAGTAACGCGCGTCTATAACTAAGCGCCGACGTCTGCTCGCTTGTAATCAAGTATAAATGCAAAAGCACCGATCAAATTCCATTCAGTTTTCTCGCCAATTTCCGAATTCCACGCTAATTAATGCACCCATCACTGCGAGTAACGCACGCGTCCAGCACGTAAATCTGTCACATTCACTCCCGCAACCACGCCGCGCTTTGAAGCACGGAAACTAAAACCACAGCACATCTCTGAGCAGCGTGCGTATCAATCAAAGTCAGTCACATGCAGCTGTTAAAACTCTCTAAAGTTGACGTTCTACGCTACGTAGACGTCAAAATGTGGCGGTTCCGTGCTGGACACGTGCGTTCGTACATACAATGCTGAGGACCAACAGATGTGAGTAGAGGGGCCGATGAGACAATCATACGTAGACGATTTTAGAATGTGTTCTCACGCAAGTAAGCTAGATGGCGCCACGATACATCTGTTAGTTTGTTAACCAGCCTATATTTACAGCAGAGAGTGAGAGCTCGGTGCAATTGTGGTCTACATCTAAATACTGAGCCCAAGTGAAGTACGCTGGTTGTTCCAAAGAATTCGATTACAAGACTCGATATCACGAACGTACACAAATTTTTGTTTAAAAAGCCAGCAGGGTAGGGTGTATCTGTTAAAAACGAAATAACAATGAATGGTTCTTTGGAACAACCAGAGCAAAGAATGGAAGCCATCACCACTATGTACAATCCACAGCCGACAGACGCCAGCATTACTGCTGGTCTGAAGTTCTACTGTCTGCTCGGTGTGGCTCTTATATAACCGGCATTCATTCTGCATGGGGCAGAGAAAGAAGGAAGCATGCTCTCTCGCTATTTCTCTATCTTCCGATTAATTCAAACTTCCAGCTCTCAGCTCAATATGTCATGCAACTTCCACTCTACAAATGCTCTCCTTAGGTGACCTACCCCACAAACCTCACTCGCCACTACACTATCGTTACGACTATTTACCGAAAACGAGAGAAGCAGGGTTTATGCGATGACGGGTGCAGCATATGGGTAGTTTCGATCACTGAACCCACGCGCCCTGTCATCGGCGAGAACGTATTAGGAAAAAGTATATATACACAAAGAGCAGAAACTACGTTGGCAGTACTTAACAGTGTGGTTCGTTGGTTAGGTCACCGCAGTAGAGTAAGAGCCTGTATGACAGCGCCAAGTGTTACCTGGCAGCTAGAGAGGCATATCTGCTGCCTGGCTGGCCTTACTGTTTCAGTTTCTTCATCGTTCCAAAAATCGACACCTTCCTACAAAGAAGCGAAATGGATACGACAATGTGAGGACCGAAATCAAAAAATAGCATACACGGAATGGCTGGAAGATACACAAACGCGCACTATACGCTGAGCAAATAACAGAATGTGATCTATCATCGACTTGATCCATGCTGAAACTCAAAACTTGCCACTCAGCCATAAACGAAAACAAATCATACGAACGTCGGCAAAAATGATAGCCATGCTTTTGCAGTATACTAATGCGCAGGCAGAAACGCAGGTACACCAACACTTGCATACGGCCAACCTGCAATGGAATGCGTGCTTTGTGTTCCCCTATATCTAGACCCCTTTCCCCCACCCCACCACGGAATGCTCCCTCAACAAGCAGATTATAAAATGATATGACTTCAACTATTGCCCGTACTCACCCACTCTAGCACATGAGTATCTCTGCCTCACCACATTTACGCACATATTCGCACACACGCATGCACGTGTGCACACAATCACACACACGCACGTACGCACGCACGTACGCACACTGACGCACACACATACTCCATTACAGGTAAACAGTAAACAAGCACGGGTGACCTGCTTGTCTGATATACATAGACGCGAAAAGCGCAGTCGCTAGCACATCGTCACCGGGGCGATGGAAGAGTTAAAAGAAGCCCTTCTTCTTATCCTTTTTCTTGCCCTCGAGGCTTCTGAAACGAAACAAGAAGCCATGCAGCATTACACGGTCGGGGTGCGGCGTGGGAGAGACATACTTAGCTGCTGAGACATCAACGATTGACTGTAGACACAATACAGCACACGCAGACAGCTTGTAGACAAATACAACATGCAGCTACACCTTTCTCTATTCCCAACTACTTTACTCCTATACCCGTACTATATATCTATTTACTAGGGATTATATTTCAATCTCAGATATTCTCTCGGGTGCCTAATAATATTATGTAACGTGAGTCAATTATTAACAATGACTACAGCTACAGCTAGACACGCGACATTCCCAGATAACTAGATCCATGTTTCTGCAATTACTATTTTTTAATATATTATACATTTACATTCCCTGCCTGTTACAACCCTCGGCTACTGTGACTCTCTCCTAGGCTATGTCACCACTCTGTTCTCCCCAATGTAATGTCTCGAATGCAGAAAGATTTACTAGATGCACCGAACTCAACTGTTAAGTGTGACCTCTCCTCTCATGTCTCTATTACCCCTCATTCCCTAACCCCTGCTGCAAGTTGTACTTGAATATCCTATGTCTCACAACTAGCTGCACTCATTTATAACTTCCCGTTAATGTAGTCAAAGTATAATCTGTCTAGATATCACCCTACAATTAACAAGACGAGTATTAGTAGCATCATGCATAGCATCATGCAGATTGTCAAGGATCGATGCAATGAATTGAAGAATAGCTCTTGAAATATAGTCTGAAAATATCTGCACACATCAGTCAGTAAAACAGTAGATCTGCTAATCTTCAGGACCCGGTTTCACAGACGTGGATTAACTTTTAACTCAGAGTTAAGGAATTTAACACAGAGTTAAGAGTTAATCCACAACTGTGGAACTGGGTCCAGGCTGAGGAATCCAGTCGGTTGCAGTCTAGAAAAGTGAAGTAATATATCAATGAAGTTCGATTGTTAGTGATTGAGGAATAGTACAGGCAAAAAATCAAGAACAACACAAAGAAGAAAATGAGAAAAAATTGATACATCTTATAAAAACCATGAAAAAATAAAAACGAAAACCAAGTAAAAAATATCAGTGGATTAAATGTAACTGAATGCGTTTAAATGAATTCAATTTTCAAATAAATTACGAAAATGAATAAATGAAGTTAATAAGATAATATTATTAATGCAAAAAATACGTTGTCACAACGGTTACAGTTAAATCGCCCTGTAAAGAGAAATACGCATATTTTGAATCGAACACCACCGTGTGGCCACCAGCCTATAACAAATCACAGAAAACAGAAATGAGACGAATGTTGACAAACAGCGAAGCGATAGATCAGAGTAGAAATCAGGTGTGAAAGGGGCTTCTAATGAAGGAATGCCAGTGCTTCACTCCATGCTCTTTGCCTGGTAGTCCATAGTAAGAACAACTGCGTGAGGGCTGGCAGAATTTGATACATCATGCGCGTGCTGCGTGTGATGCTCGAAAAACAGAAAACCCCTTTCACGAGCCCTAGCAGCAGATTTCTTCCAAGTGGTGACACCTACCGACCAGGACCAGAGTGACCACCCCAAGTCGAATATTTGCCATTGCGGGCATTCCTGTACACGGACAAAAGTGGGGAAATATTAATTACAATCACAGCTTGCGGTACATTGAAAACCCACACTAAAATACGTGGCACAACTTAGAGAAAAACACATATTAAAAAATGACGAACACAGACACACTGCATAAAATACACGAAGAATCATTGCACCTTAGCGGACAATAGGCGACATAATGTTCTTTGTGAGATGATATATGATCATCCCGAATCAAGCTACGCACGTAAGTTTATCTAAAAAAGAAGACACACACACGCCCAACCACCATCCAAGCACATAGACTGTGCCTGATGTTTGTTCATAGATCTTAAATGCCTTCATCAACGCAATTTCTGTTTGTACAGTAATAGCCCTCGTATAATCTTCTCAATACTACTTCCGGCGATCTTTGTATCCTGAGAATTCGTGTAAACGCCCCATGTTCATGTGAAAAAAGTTGCTGTATTTTCCAAAGAGAAACCAAGTTAAATTCGTTTCTATGTATTAGATCAGAACGAAATTCTGAATTTTCCCCCGAAATCAAGTTTGGGCCGCATTTTTGAAGATATTCATAGTTAGCGCAATGATATAATTTGGCAGGCGCAGTCAGAGAACACAGAGCAACGGACGAGCGGGCTACGCAGCACGACTGCCATACCTTTCCAAACGTTTGCGACCTTTCAACCTCCTACCATCCCTACAAAATCGTACAAAACGCCGATGAATTGTTGCCGGCTCGATCGGCACACCCCCCGAGGTTAGCAATTTCCCAACGAAGAAGTCATACTGCTGCTCTACACGCTTCAGAGACCAATGAAAGGATTGGGATGATCTGATTCGAACTTCGTGGTAATGATTTATGGTTCTTCCACGGATCTCGCAAACTAACCACAAAAACCCCCATCCACCCATTATTTACAACCGCTAGCGTCTGATAGTAGCAGTTGAAGTGTGGTAGAACTTCTAAAGGCACCACATGAAGCCCCATCTAAAGCGGGAGACACACCATGCAAATTTATTCGCACGTCCGTAGCGATTGCAAAATCGCAGTGAAACTCGCATGGTGTGTCCGGTCAAGCGCGGGCAAATTTCGCTGCAAATTTCATCCGCACCGAAATTCGCAGCGATCAAACATGTTTGATATTTTCGCTGCGGACGTGCGAATATAGACTGGTACCCGTCCCTTCTCACAAGCTCGATATAGGCCTATATCGAGCTTGTGAGAAGGGATGGGTACCAGTCTAGTGCGAATAATGGCCGATTGTTATAATGCAGCGAATCATTGATCAGTATGCTAATCACGTGACCACATGACTGTTGGAGCCATGGTGGAGCCGTGTGGCGCCAGTAGATCGCGTGTAGTGTGTACGCTGCGGACGTGCGAATAAATTCGCATGGTGTGTCTGCTCAATTATCGCATGCGAGTGTGAATATTTTCGCTGCGGATATGATCGCTACGGACGTGCGAATAAATTCGCATGGTGCATCCCAGGCTTAAAGAGCACCAGTCAAACACGGCTGAGAATAAACGCATTGATGCTGAGACGTGCACGAGTCGTCCGTATTAGTAAAGCGTGTGTAAAGAGACTGCTGTCGTAGGAGATAGGGCAAAGAGACGCAGATTCGACCCCATCGTCGTTCGAGCGAGCCACAGACGATTACTTACTCCTTGGAGCCAGCCTCCAGGGACTTGGTGCGGCTGTCGATCTGCGTCGACTCGAATATCGACTTCTCGTTTTCGAACTGCCTTCTCTTCTCCTCCAGCTCCTTCTCCTGCTGCTCCAGCGACTTCTTCATCTGCTCGTGTCGCTTCTGCAACTGCAAGCGAGCAAAGCTTCGCGTCACAAACTGGTGACTGCTCAGAGACACTCGTTAAAGTCTATGCTGGCCGCCAGCACTGCATTTGTGGAGGTGAGCCTGAGGCCGAGTGGGAAGGCCAAGCAGCAGCAACACTGTCAGTGATTGTAAGCACATGGAAAAAATAATCTCGCTTTTTACTCTGGATCAGTCTAATGACTGATTACTCTTCAACAACTTCATCTGCGCTCAATAAGCCCCTCACCACACACCACCCACGGTCTGAAACATAGCCCAAGGTCAGATATTAGATAAAAGAAACATTCCTAACTTTGAGCGACTATACATCACGTACGTCTGCCTCTGAATCCCTCAGCTGCAGCATCTTTTCCTTGACCTTCATTTCAAACACTTGCTCCATCTGTTGCTCGGTCTTCTTCATCTTGTCTAGCCGGTCCTTCTTCTCTTCAGCGATCTGCATCATCGGACTTCTGCAATGCAAATACGCCCGATTAGGAAACAATATAGGTATCAACATCACTATGAAAAACCGATCTTACTAACTTTATACGTTCATGGCATTACATAAGTAGCTAGTCGAATATACACGGTGTAGTCATATATCAGTATTGTAGTGGATCTGCATTCCATACAGACGATCCAAACCTTCAGGTCACACAAGGATCAATGCCCCCTCTTGACCTTAATTCAATGACACTCGCGTTTAAATTAAACAACAACAGAAATGCTCAATCAATTCATAATTTTTTTAACTAAATCAAAATCAGTTTCTCCCATAACTTTTGAGATGGTGATTTTGCATTCCTCGTTAAACCCAATGTATACCGTGACATATCAGAGAGAGAGAGAGAGAGGCCTAGACCAGCACTAGGTGTACACGCTAGTCCCACCAAGATGTGAAAGCACGGACAGATTCTCCCCCGGCTCATTTACCACGTCGAGCGCGCGCCGCGACCAGCACTCACTTGTTGGGAATCTTGCCCGACTTTCCGTCGGACGTGATGCCGACGAGCTTTCGGCAGCGGAAGTTCTCGTAGTGGACATTGTTGGTGACGTCCTTGAGGTCCATCATGTGCGTACGCACGAGCATGTTTCGCAGAGGAATGAAATCACAGTGCTCCATGTTCTCAACTGCAGAGGGAGGAAGGAAGAGAGGGGAGGGAGGTTAAAATGGACGGCGTAACACGGCTGAGACGGGAACGGTGGACGACCGTCGATTACGACGAAATATGCGTCGAGGATGAACGCGATACCTTATTTTAAAATTCATTTTATTTTATTTTATTTTAAATTTTTTTTATGAGTACAAGTATATTATCCTGTTAGCAGCAGTTATGACATCTGATATTGTTGCCATGGCCAAGCTGAAAAGTTGCTTGGATTGTCACTGGATTGCAGTAGGTAAAACAGACAACTAGCCTGCTGCCGGCCGACACAGGCTGCAAAACTAGGAGCTAAAAGCAAGGAATAGATTATCATCAGCATACCTTCGACAATTCCCCACGGATACCGTCGACCCCGCACCTTCTTGCCAGAGACCTCTATTACTGTATTGCTGCCAACGACGGCAAATGGCACTCGCTCCTGTAGAGAGAGAAAATGAGAGATAAAAATCACACGTTTTATTGCTGATCTGCCATTCACAACCAATTCTGGAAAGTAACAACAGGCTCAAAGTAAAACCGATCCCTCATGCAAGATAAATGACTTCAATAGTGCACAATTGCTCGACAAATCCATTTGAGGAGGAATTTCTGTTGGCCAAAATGGCTTGAGTTACAAGATTCACAAACCATCAAAACGGGAAGATTTTCTAAACGTCATTTGCAATTGCATGTGGTGAAATTGCCAACAGACTGAGATGGTTTCTGACAAAATGTGTAACATCGATAATAATTTCATCTCACAATAGAGTGATTCATGCACTGGGTTATGTTTGGGAAATCGTCTGTGGTTGGAATAACTGTGGGTTAGCAAGACTAAACTTGGTAAACAATGACGGCAGTTTTATAATGCACTCTTGACTCTCTTACATATGTAAGGAACGAACTCATATACACCAACAGTTATTCCCTAATGGCACCATATTATATTTCAAGTAACGTAAAATTTTACTTGAAAATAAATATTTATGACTTTTGGCCATTTTTAAACATTGGATACTTAAAACTGAGTGCTAGTGTTGGAAAACCTAGAGCATATATTACAGTTTCCCTGAATACTGAAAACAGTGGTTAGGAAGACAATTGTATTCCTTATTACACAGTAGAGACTGATCACCTTGAGCGATTTGTTGGTCTTGTTCTCCTCTTCATCCTCTATGTCTGGGAAGTCGTAGATTTTAATTTTGTGTTGAGCAATCTCATTTAAGATCTGAAATAGTCAAAATTCAAGAATTGAATGAAATACACTCCTTATATCTCATATCCAATTACTCAACTAGGTCATCCTTCAGGACGCCCCAATATATCATATCCAAATCATTTAAAAAATACTCAATTCATTGGGGTTTCCACCTTACCAGATAAACATGGTAAATTAAATCAATTAGATTACAGAGAATTAATCTTTTTTTTTTAAATGTTAGTTAGTAATCTTTCACTGAATACTCTAAGATCTAAGTTATGAACAATCTTATAGTATAAACCATATCAGCACGAGTATATAAACTATGTTCAGCATAATTTTATGTATCCTTGATATCACACTTCATACACAGATTATGCGACTACTATTCCCAGCTCACCTATTCTACGGCAAGTTCCTCGCATGATGTGTACACATATTCACTAGAAGCTATCGCCCTAGCACTCTCATTAGGCTTCAATGTTATTATTTGCATTACCTAAGCTCACGCATGTTGCTGTTGTTATTACGTGGCACACTACTTACTGTCTTCTTAAAGCTGGTGCACTCCTCTGGCGTCATCGTGTCAGCTTTCGCGATGACTGGAATGATGTTCACCTTGTCGTGCAGCTTCTTCATGAATTCGATGTCCAGAGGTTTCAACCTGCCGCACAACGTCACACGTCGGTTACCACCACCCTCGCTATTTGTAGATTGATCTCCTATCAATTCACTAGCTGCCCAACAGAATTAGCTGTCCAGTAGATATGTAACTTTATAGCTGGTCACTGTGAATGGACCTGGACTAAGTCTGATAAATATCTGACATTGTATAGATGGCAGCACATGTATGCAGTTTAGAGGGGCAACCATATTAAACTGCTTCTCGAAACCACCAGGGTCGTGAGAGGTGGGAGTGGGGAATTTCTCAGCGCAGACTTGCCCGTGTCCGTTGGGACTGATGAAGTAGAGGCAGCAGTGGACACGTGCGTCTGGCATCGTCTTGCGGTTAACGCGTGACTCGCCGTTCAGGTACTCCTCGTATCTCTGCTCGATGTAGTCGATGATCGTCTGCCAGCTGCGAGGCGCACATGAGAGAGGTTAGTTTACAGGTTCACGCTTCAAGGCTTCAGTTTGCAGGTGTAACTAGTGAGACTCTAGTAGCGTACCAAGTCACTTTATACAGAGATATCTCTTACATTACTCGATTTCATTAGAGAGATATCTATATTTTGAGGCAAGTAAAAATATAAAGATATTTCTATCTATATAAATTCGGGGTGCAGCCAACTTATTTTGGTGGTGGTGGGGAGTGGATGGGTAGGGGGGTGGATGGGTAGGAGGGGAGGGGGGTGTGTGTGAGGGCCATGTTGCCACAAATGTGGGCAATTGACCGGCACAAGTGGTCGAGTGGTTATATTCCACTGTTCTTCGATTATGACTAGAACAGATGGTTTTCCCCCCCGAGTTTTCCTTTACGCTTCACTCTTTTCCAGAACTCGCTGCCAATTTAGACAAAAATTTAATTTATTTTCTAACACATACATTATAACTATATTTATTTAAATAAATGTCATCTCTCATTCCATCTCCGACATCCCAGGCTTCTAGGTAGGTGGGCTGCTGTGTGTGTGTGTGTGTGTGGGGTGGGGGGTTCATTTCAGGGGGGTTTACTCACCAATTGCTGTTGTCGACGGCATCACCGAAGCCAGGCGTGTCAACGACTTGCAGCTGCAGCTGCACTCCACTCTCCTTCAGTATCACATTGGTCGACTCCACCTGCGGGATACAGATGCAACTAGCGTGATTTAAAATGGAGCAAAAAACGACGCATACAATAAACGCTCAAGCTCATTGGGACTGTTAAAATTATGTTAAACTCACCGGACCTTCATTTAAAATAGAGCGAAAAGCGTCACACATCATAAACGCTCATGCTATGTAAGCCTGTTAAAATTCTGTGACACTCGCTGGACCGTGATTTAAAATAGAGCGAAAAGCATCACAGATCATAAACGCTCACGCTATTCGAGCTTGTGAAAATTCTGCTACACTTGCTGGACCGTGATTTACAACAGAGCAAAAATCATTGCATATAATAAACACTCACGCTCTTCGAGCCTGTTAAAATTCTGGTAAACTCGTGAAATGTTATCCATTTTCGTTACAGTACCAGTACAAAAAAGGGGGAAATTTGGTATCGAGTTTTCTGCACAGCAAACGAAAATGCCTCTTTCAACATGATTATAAAACAAATCATTAGATTTTAGCCAGGCAAGTTATACCAATCTATTCTAAAGCGGTGGTAGCTTAATAATACAGTTAGAATTCATATCGGTAGTCAAACTCGAGACAAAAAATAGTTAAAAACCCGAGCCTAAAAATATGGGTGCTACAAGAAACTTGTGAATGCTGCTTCTATCATTGTACTCTGCTATTTTTAGGATTAGCTACTCAAGGGTAGTTAAATATGCTTTGTCTCCTCCACTGTTTGTACTAAGTTAAGTAAATTCGCATTGACTATACAATGTAAATATAACCAACAGGATATGATGTATATGAATTTCACTAGCGCTAAAAGGTGCGGGGAAACCGAGTAAGTCAACTTGGTTTTTATGCAGGATAAATGATGGGCGGCAATACAAGCAACTGCAATGTTTAACCGCTTTTTAGGTTGAATGCTGAATTTCACTCTACATATGACCACCTCTGTTTGAATGCCTGCAACAGATCTATCAACAATTTGGTTTTTGCAATGTTGTAGCTGATATATGATCTATCGTTTGCTACGCGAATACTAAACTTACATTGCTGATGACAAATCTCAAATCTTACATTTCCTACTAGTCTGGATGGTCTACGGGGACACAGAACTACATGGTAGTTGGGGCTACATGGGTAGAACTACACACGTTACTGTCACGGAGTGAAGCTACACATGTTCCTGTCACGGAGTGAAGGGCTACATGGGTAGAACTACACACGTTACTGTCACGGATTGAAGCTACACATGTTCCTGTCACAGAGTGAAGGGCTACATGGGTAGAACTACACATGTTCCTGTCACGGAGTGAAGGGCTACATGGGTAGAACTACACATGTTCCTGTCACGGAGTGAAGCTACACATGTTCCTGTCACGGAGTGAAGGGCTACATGGGTAGAACTACACATGTTCCTGTCACGGAGTGAAGGGCTACATGGGTAGAACTACACATGTTACTGTCACGGAGTGAAGGGCTACACGGGTAGAACTACACATGTTCCTGTCACGGAGTGAAGGGCTACACGGGTAGA